TGTAGAGGTAAATGTTCATGGTCTGCTCAATCTGGTTGACATGTAGTCTCACAAAAAGCCCATAGTTGGGCCACTTGTGGATAGCTATCGAATTTTCACACAAAACAAATGCTCCTTCTCAAGTGTACACCCTTTCAACACTTAATTTAAACCCCAAATTTTCAGATCCACATTTGCATTCCTGGCACCTTATAGCCAATAGAGCTATCGCTTAAACAGTTCGCGAATGCTCAGGAGTTTCAATTTGAATCCTCTGTATCTTTTTTGATATCATCTAGGCGACCTGCGATATCATTTAGCGTACTCTATTACCGCTGGTGTAAGTAGGAGACCTGCACAACGATAGTAGGCCTCTCTTTTAGTGGTGGCATGCTTGCAAGTACTGTATAAGATGAAAGAGAATTCCTTCAATTATTGCCATCTATTGATTCAGTCCTTCCCATCTTCTTAACACAGCAGGCTGTGCTTCTTTCTCTTCGAGTGCTCATCTGTATTACTATCGTTTTCCAGAACTTTTCTTCTCAGCAGCCATAATACCTTATCTAACCCTTCAACAAAAACATTGTCATATTTCGTATCCACCCATCATCATGTACACACCATCCATTATCATTGGCTTCCTTGCCCTAAGCCCTCTTGTGGCGGCCCACGGAAAAATTGCAGTTGTTACCGGAAACCTTGGTGGAAACGGTACTGCGCTAGGAATTAAAGGAGCTGTTGTTGCAGATACTGGGTCAAACTCCAAGACAGAACTCGATACTACGGTATTCGACATTGGTAGTAACAATTGTGGACAAACAGAGGTATTGATACTACTTGCCACCCCGTACGTCAACTATCAATTAACAATTCCAAGGCTGCAGGAAGAAACAAAGCAGAGTCCGGTGTGACTAAGTCAATGGCTCTTTCGGGCAACACACTTCCACAGATAAGTACCGATAATGCATCTATCTCGGGTACTTTCCACATTGTGACTTCCGACGGTGCAGGTGTATGTATACGGTTTTCCTTATTACCAAGAAATGTAGTCGCTGATATGTGCGTAGCCTCTTACAGCGATGGTTGATACTACCGGAAAAGGCGATTTTTCGAATGCGATCAAGGCAGTCGTTACTACACAAATACCAGGAAAAAAGGGCAACATAAAGAAGACTAAACAAACAAGATGGGAGCGAGTTATGAGAAGCATTGGTTTGATGAAAAGAGCCTCTAATATCAACGAAGACTATGTGAGATACTTGGTTCCTATCATTCCTTTTCTCAATATTTGCTAATCAAGTATGCAGCCATTCAGTGTAGATATTCCGGCTGGTATAACTTGTACTGGTACTGTAGCGGGACAATCCAATGTCTGTATGGTCAAGGTTGTGAACCCATCGAATGCGGGACCTTTCGGGGGATGCGTTGCTGTTCAGCAATCCACGGGTACGAATACAACAGCTTCTGCCAGGAGAAATCTGAAGCCCATGAAATTTTCCGTTTGATAATAAGTGGTATTGTGTAGCATGTATGCAACCTCAAGGAACCAGAGTCTTCGAAGGAAAGACCCGTTAGTGGAGGCTCTACCCCGGATTAGTCAGGTGGAGCTAAAGTTTGGGGGTTAAAGCGGGGAACGGTTTCGTAGGGCTGTGCTGTACAAGTCAGATAAGGTTATCTTGTGTGTATTTGAATCGATGTGTCAATGAAATGACTATGCTTTACTTCCATGACCTCAGCTATGTTGAAGATTAATGTTGTGATTGAAGCCATGAATTATTCATGCAGCGGAACTCAATATACCACCAATGTACTCATTCAGTGGCGATGAACCTAATTTGATTGGAGCGGAGTATTCATGGACTTTGATATCGATAACAGTGGTGGATCCAAAGATGTTACACTCTGTGCTTGAGTACCGTTCGAAGCGAGGTGAGCGGAAACGCGATCACATCTGTAGATATCCGCCTGGAGTTCATGTCCTATATGTTCCTCTAATAAGATTTTGCGTTCATCAGGTCCAATTTAATCTATCGCTGGATCTAGTTCCTTTTAACCCTCGGCATTTGTCAACACAGAAAGTCAGCATAATCTTTTTCAATACGTTATCGCCGGCTCATCACGTGCGAAGCTCTGATGAAGCTATTACGAGAAGCGACAAGATAACAGCTGCAATCCTTCTTCCATGGCCAGATAAGAATACCTCTACTCATTCGACACTCAATCTATATGCATCTTCACGTCAACCAACAAATTTCCTTGATTTCCTTTTGCATGTCTATCTATGGATTTCCCAAATGCCTCAACGGCATCTTTCAAGCTTGCTCATGCATTTTTGGCGTCAAACAAAGCTGCAAGAAGCCTCAGCGATGCATATTTCCGTCCCCGTGTTCCATTACTTGTATGTCTTTGGTTTAAAACCTTTGACAAATCTATGATGGATAAGTTTTGATCCCCTCGGCCTTTGGGTACAGCTGATAGATGAAGTACTGCTTACGTCCGATAATTTGTCAATTGGTAATGATGTACCTGCATATCTGTGTAGGTTGATCTATACAGTATCTTCTCTCCTCCTCTTGCCCGATGTTCTAATGCAAATGTTCTGTCATTGTATCTTGTTAATCGGTGGCAATCCCGATATCAAACATGCATTTCAATTCCCACGCCAAATAGGCAGTGATGCTCAGTGGTTATTCCTCATCTCACCTTCTCATTTATCTCATATTTTATCTTCACTTTCGTGAAATGGGCCAGTAGTAAAGTTATTCTTCATTTGCTTTTCCCCATTGATTTACTGGTACTCAATAAGGTGGCTATATACAATGAGTGACCAAAACGATTCCAAGTCATCAAGGCTTCCGAAAGTTTGCCGACCTTCAGCCAATACCTCGCCAACTTCCACCCCCCCAAACGAACAATCTTCACTTCTCCCTCGATCTACCGACGTAGGAGAGACTTACGAGCTTGAAGACGATGGTATAACTCCAGCCAAAAGATGGCTTGCCGAATTCCTCCTCCTTTTACGAGGTTCGGTTCCTGTCATCCTCGCATACGCATTGCAGAACTCTCTCCAAACGATATCAGTTCTGATAGTTGGTCGACTAAGTCCTGAAGCTCTAGCGACTGCAGCTTTCAGTTACATGTTTGCAATGTCTACAGCATGGCTTATCGCGCTTGGTGGAACTACTGCTTTAGATACATTGGCATCGTCTTCGTTTACTGGAAGTAAAAACCCGCACGATTTGGGTATATTGTTACAGCGAGGTTTCTTTGTTTTAACTGCGTTTTACATACCAGTTGCTATACTATGGGCTTGCTCCGCTCCCATTTTTAGATTGTTGGGACAGGAAGAATACATTTGTGTGGATAGTGCTAGGTTCTTGACTGCGTTGATTCCAGGTGGATTAGGATATATTTACTTCGAAGCTATGAAGAAGTATCTACAAGCACAAGGCATTACTTACTACTCTCTTATCTTCACTATTACCGGTATCTAACCCTTTGTACAGAGATCATGCGGCCAGGCACTTACGTCCTTCTAATAACCTCGCCCGTCTCCGCCGGTCTCAATTACCTCTTCATTCACACCTTCAACCTAGGTCTCATTGGCGCCCCCCTCGCTACTGGTCTCTCCTATTGGCTCTCGTTTCTCCTTCTAGTCCTCTACTCCCACTTCATAACCGGATACCAATGCTGGGGCGGCTTCACCATCCAATCACTTCACAATCTCGGAACATTTTCCCGTCTTGCACTTCTTGGAGTTATCCACGTCGGCACCGAATGGTGGGCCTTTGAAATTGTCGCGTTGGCTGCCGGTCGATTAGGTACCATTCCCCTGGCTGCCCAAAGTGTCATTATGACGACTGATCAAGTAATGAACACAATACCCTTTGGTATCGGTGTAGCAGCCAGTTCACGCGTTGGAAATTTGCTAGGAGCAAGAAACGCAAAAGGAGCAGCCAGAGCGGCGAATGTGGCGGCTTGGCTAAGTATGATCATGGGATTGCTAGTTTTGATTGTTCTTATGAGTGTGAAGAACTTCTACGCCAGGATATTTAACGATGATTTGAGAGTTATCAAGTTAACGGCGGAAGTCATGCCATATGTTGCTTTGTTTCAGATAGCAGATGGGCTTAATGGGAGTTGTGGAGGAAATTTGAGAGGTATGGGGAGACAGCATGTTGGTGCCGCAGTCAATTTTGTTAGTTATTATTGCGGTGCGCTGCCATTGGGTATCTGGCTGGCGTTTCATGGATGGGGATTGGGAGGACTATGGGTGGGTCAGTGTATCGCGCTTTATATTGTTGGTGCACTGGAATGGATTATTGTTGCGTGGAGTGACTGGGAAGGAGAGGTCAAGAGGGCGTTTGGAAGAATGGAGGTAGACGACCGGATTGAGGCTGGGATCGGGGGATTGGACGAGACGGAGGAAATATAATCAATATTCAATTATGTGAGATTGACGAGCTTGTGAACAGCATCACCAACATTGTTATGTTAGCTTTAGATAGAGATTTCGTATCATATATAAATAATTTCAAAAGCGTAAGCAATCCAATGGTATCTCATCAGAGATTGTTTTCGTCTCTGGCAATATGCAACAGCAGCTGCTTAGAGGAAGGGCGTCATGGATAGGTGATTTCAACCACTGGTTCAATTTCATATTATACTCCTCTGGTGAAAAACTCTCTCTTTATATGGTTTCAAGGGTCGTTACTGGGCTGTATCTTGAAGATGTTGTTGACAAGTATTTTTGTGTTGAATGTTGTCATCATACCGGTATCTCCTTCGGTGATTACATGCTTTAGGCTTATGGGCCTTGAATTCGAGGCACATAACTTCTTTCGATCATCAATGACGATTCCTCGATTCTGATTGGCTTAAACAATTAACAAGTAGCATTAGCTCGTTCAAATTTCTCCACATCACGTGATCGTTATCAATCCAGCCGATAAGGCGATGAACAAATTTATTTTGCCAAAATTTACATTTCGATTATCATCTCCTCACCACAAACCTTCAACATGCCTAAAGCAAAGACTGGCAAGCGCAATGCTGCCGCTGCTGGTACACCTTACGAAAAGGCTGCTGCATTAACCAATTCGTTCAAGCACAACAAAGACTATGGACAACATATTCTTAAAAATCCTGGTGTCGCAGAAGCTATCGTGAAGAAGGCGAATCTCAAACCTACAGATACAGTCCTCGAAGTCGGTCCAGGTACAGGAAATTTGACTGTAAGGATACTAGAAAGCGCAAAGAAAGTTATAGCTGTGGAAGTAGATCCTAGAATGGCTGCAGAAGTCACAAAGAGAGTACAAGGAAAGCCAGAACAGAAGAGATTGGAAGTTCTTTTGGGTGATGTGATTAAGACTGAACTGCCACATTTTGATGTGTGCATCAGTAACACTCCTTATCAGGTATGTAAACCTCCATTTTTTTTTCTTTTACTTTGGGTGAAGATCTAACCCTCGAACAGATTTCATCACCACTTGTCTTCAAACTCCTCTCCTTGCCAAACCCACCCCGATGCAGTGTTCTCATGTTCCAGCGCGAATTCGCTCTCCGTCTTACTGCACGTCCAGGTGATTCACTTTACTGCCGATTGTCTGTCAATGCGCAATTTTTCGCCAAAATTACACACATCATGAAGGTTGGCAAAAATAATTTCAGACCACCCCCACAGGTCGAGTCTTCTGTTGTTCGAATCGAGCCCAAAACAGGCAAAGAGCGTCCAGGAGTTAGTTGGGAAGAATGGGATGGCATGCTGAGAATATGCTTTGTTAGAAAGAACAGAACTATGAGGGCTAGTTGGCTCGGAATGAAGCAAGTACTAGCAATGTGTGAGAGGAATTATCGAGTTTATTGCTCGACGAACAATATCGCCCTTGACGAAACCCCAGTCGAAGATGAAGACGAGGACATGGATCTGGACGATGCCCCAATTGCCGAGGAGGGAGAAGAAGAATGGGGAGGAATGGATGTGGAGAAAGGCGAAGAGGTTTTCGATGAAGAAATGCCATCTTTCTTTCAGGAACTCAAGGGAACCAATAAGCCTAAAACCAAGAGTAAAGTACCCAAAACTCGAGTGGCAGAGCTCGTTCGAGAGAAGATACGCAAGGTTCTAGAGGATGTGACTGAATTGGCTGACACCCGTGCTGGAAAATGCGATGAGAACGACTTCCTCAGATTGCTGTTTGCATTCAATGAGGAAGGATTACATTTTTCATAATTACAATTTAAATATTTAGGGATGGGTAAAATGGTGTTTATATTGTATGTAGGCATGGAGTTGGTGGAAGGTTTACATGGTTCACATATGATTCCCTACAAAGTTGGGATTACTGAATTTATGACTATCTTTATTTTTTGCTTCTCCATGGTCTCCAAGAGTGCGGACTGTAGTACGACTACTAAGAGGTTTGGACCTCAGAATCCAATTAAACGATTTAAAATTCTTGAAATCCTCAATGCACTTTGAATGCTGCAGTGTTTGAAACTATGTAGGGCTTACATCCAAACTGTCAGTCGGAATTTTTAGACTTACTATGCGGAAGCAAGTTTACCGGTGCCTGAACAATGCTTCACATACACATACCTAGGTACGACATGTCTGCGTGAATGCTTCTTAGCCGATCTATGCATCTGTCCACCAAACCCTCTGGTTGGTATCTTAGAGACATACTATGAACTTCACATCAAATATTGCATCGCGGGGAAAGATGGGCACAGGGTATTCTTTTCATTAAGTCTTGCATTATCCTAATTTATCTCTCTCATGCAAACTCGCACATCCCTTTCCTCCTTCTAATTGTACATACAACATCCTGTTAACAGGTTCCAACAGAGAGCTTAGTATTAAACCACCATTTCACAAGGACAAACTAGTTTCCCTCCTAATGGATAACGCCACTGCCAATGCATGCTGGGAGTGGGTAAGTGTCTCCGGTGCAAAGACTGATAGTTCCAGAAACCCAGCTCAATCCTCCATAAGCCTGGCTTGTGTAGCTATCGGCTTGGTAAGTATCAGTCTCTGCGGCGGCACCAATGCATCCAATATCAATGTAGCCAGATTTTCTGAGAGTGTAAGGGTTGGAAACGACGGCTCCGTATTTGCCAGCTGGGACGGTGTATGTGTAGGAAGCAGTGTAGGTGGAAGTCCATGTCTCTGTGTAGGTAATGCCATAACTTGTCTGGAGGAAATTTTCGACGAGGGTGAAAGTGGCGCCAGCAGAGACGGAGATAGCATTTGCGATTGAGTATCCTTCTGTGACGGCAACGGTGGCAGTGGTTGTTCCTGCCTTGACGACGGAGGACATAGGCACGTCCCAGTTCAAGAATTTCTGGTCAGGGTTCTCGCGAATGACGGTTGCTGACTTGCAACCACGTTTGTCTAAAGCGGATGATGCAAAGTGGCCGCCTGAGGTTCCATTGTAGCCTACAAGAGGACCAGGTGATTGAGTGATGTTGGAACCATGGTGGTGCTTCCAGAATTCGGCTTTGTCCATGACTTCAGTGCGGCCATTCTCGCCGAAGAGGATGATCTTGGACTCATCCAAGTTACGGGGGATTGTAGCTGCTCCCACGATGGTGGAGCTCAACAAGAGGCTAGAAAGGAGGGAGGTAATATACATTTTGAAGTTTTGATGGTATCAATTGTGGACTTGAGAAGTGTCAATGAGATAGAAAGAGAGACTGAGGCTGGATGGTTTTTCTAATTCATTGATGCGAAGTTGAAGACTTCATATACTCTTTCTCCGTGGAGATATCCCGAATCTCTTCCTCGACACAATTGACATATGGATAATTCAATCCACTTGGAAAACCTTCAAACTTTCAAGGTAGATTGGGATGAACACCCAAGATAGGAGAATTACATATCCCCCGTATTCCTCAATTCACACAGTGTCACCAATCATCATCAACGCGCCCGCCCATGGACCAATAAAAGTTTTCTCGGGGACGAACTAGCTTTTCCCAAGAAGCGTCCGAACAATCTCCATAATGCAAAGTTCATGTTAAGATGACCGCATGATATGGCAATTTTACGACAGCAACCGAAAATAGCGTGATCATCCCCCTTCACCGTTTCATATCTTATGAATTCACGATAATCTTCATTTATGGGGAACAATTCCAAACTTTAATTTTCTGAGCCTCATGTTCCGCCCTGTGAACCGAAGTTTATTCTCTTGGCAATTAATCAATTAGAGTTTGTGATGAAACTTGGAATATACTTCTTCATAATTATACTATTCTGGGGAAATTTTGACGGCGATCTTGTCCTTTTTTTAATTAGATGGCGTTATTTGGGTCAGTTTCTTCTTAATTAGGCATTCCGCCTCATACTTTTGTCTTGATAAAGTTAAAGTTTGCCAGCAATATTGATAGGGATGAGTAACGCAATCGCGTTTCTATCATGTTATCATACCCGCCAAATGCAAGTGCCATCAGGGTACCGAGGATGCCGTCATGACAGATGGTTGATCGGTACCGAACTGGGGATTTGGTGCATAATTTTCTGGTAAAACCCCATCAATGTCATTTCGGAATAACCCCGCCGAAGTTGTTCCAGATATGCTCAGCCTCTTGGAAAGCTTAAACCTCGTGGTGACTGCAGCAAATAGAGTATTGTGATACCTTTGACGGTATACAGGTATCTATCTATCTTGGAACGGATTGTATACCGTAAGGTTTAATGTCGGTCTATCTGCGTAACGCTTGTTGCGCCGGTAGGTATCCCAGCCCTGATATGTCTATATATCTCATACTCCAGTAACTGCATAAGACTTCTCTCCAGCTTTCTATTCTATCAATCTTTCAACCATCTCTACTTCTTAATCAGATATCCAACCCTCACTCTTTATTTCACACTTTTACCAATCTCACTATTCTACAATCAACATGCCTTCCATCCTCCTCAAGACCATTGCTCTCCTCTCCCTTGCCAGCTTCACGCTCGCTGACCTTCACACCAATGGAATATGCGTAGACAGCAAGAGCGGAGTCGTATGTTCCAATTCTCCCACCACATCCCCCACAATCTACGTCTATAAATAGAACTAACCAATAACCTAGTATGTATACAACGCTGAAGCTACCGCCAAAACCTGCACAAACTACAAGAACAGAAACACTGGTTCAGAACAATGGGACACATGTCCCGATTGCACCATGATTACAACTGGTGTTCCACATTGTGAATCCGCTGATTCGCATATTGGTGGTGATGAGGTGAGTTTCAATACTATTTTTCTCCTCGCCAAGAGGAACATGTGACGAAATTGTTGTTTCGGGAAATATGAAATAAGAGGCTAATTGCTGCGTTTAGTTGAACTACTATTGCGGTCAGAACGGAGCAGGTGGCTCTTTGGCAAACTAAACGCCTGAGGGACGTTGATGGGAGAAGGAAGTGTACTTTTATTGGAGGAATTCTTGGCGAGCTTTTTGGGGAAGAAGATCTTGGTAAATACTTGTTCCGCGAAGCTAAATTTGAAGGATTCATGGCAAGACGCTATGTGTTTGATTCATTCACACATCGAATGATCTAATCGGTAATAGAGTATAACTATCATAAGAGACGGAGATTCGAATGATATACTTTTGATCAACTAAGAGATAAGCCTGATTATTCAAGTGCTTCTCCAACAACCAGCTACAAATCGTAGCTCACTAATGCCCTGACTTTCACTCTCCTTGTATGCCATGTCTGATTAATCCCTCCAATACGTAAGCTGAAGCCAATAACTGCCCGTGATACCCTGCCGTATGCTCCACAAATCTAAACGTCGTACGTACTCTTAATCTTGATAATCGTATGATTCTGGCCATAGCCCTCAAGTGCTCCTCTTACCGATGAGCCCCTGAATTCACAAAAGCAACGAAATGTCCTTGGCAAGTAGTCGCAATTCTATGCAATACTGCACTAAAAGTATTATTTTTGTGCAGTATTGCCTCTGAAATCTTATAGACTGTATCAAATCGATAGATACCCAAAGGGATGAAAACAAGATATGCGTGTGAAGAGAACAAAAGTCAATATGAAGATGACGACTAAGCATATTGATTCTCTTTTAACCTGAGATTTTAAGAATGTAGAGCAAAGAAGAGAAGTATTGCATGTTGGAATAGTCAATGGCGAAGTATTTAATTCCCTCTTTCCCATTCCCCTAGCTTATTGCGATGAGCCTTGACAGTTTCCATATGAAATCTCACTGTTAGAAACGTAACCGCCTCTATGGTTCCAGAATAGCACAAGTGCATCGCTTTCATTATCTAGAGTAATGTTCCATATCAGCTTTAAAAAAACAGGCAGAGAATCTTTGTGCTTAATAATAGCATTATACATCAAACTTTTCTAGATCCTGGCACTAGAAATCTCCTGGGGCACAATAACAACAAGTAGCAAACAATTTTCACTTGAACATGGGCGAACCTCCAGCTGCCGTACAATTCGCAACCGTTCTTTTTGCTAGAAGTGTCGAAATCACTGATATCTCAGCTGGTCAAATAGTCTCTGCATTCAAAAGCAAAGCTAGGCGTAATCAGTTGGAGAGAGATAAAGCTGCCCGTGAGGATTTTGGACATGGCTTACTGACAAAAAGAACCACAATGTCCATTATTAAAACGGGATTTCGATCTGTAGATGCAAATTCAAGATCAACGATGGGGATCTGGTCATACCATACGTTTTCTAAGTTGAAGTAATTGTACTGGCCCGGAGACTACTCATTGGCTAATATATATTAATGAAAGAGTAGCGCCAGGACGAGAAGCTTTTCGAAATCTTGAGCTTAGATTAAGTATTGATTCAAAGCTCTACAATACTACAATAGAGGTAAGATGGGAATTGCACACACATTCAAGGTTTCTTGATGCATAAGATATCCCGGATCAATCCCACCTTTCGAAATCGCATCCACAAGAAGCATGAATAGTTCCTTCATGATTGTGATGTAATACTAAGAACGAGATTGACAAGTCTACATGGTTGTACACTTTCCAAAATCTAAATGAAAAAAAATTATTCGCAATATATATCACGAGTACATAAGCTCATAATAAAACAGTAAATCAATAGATACACTTGCACCTGATCACTAGTCCTCTTGATTCCGGTTTCGATTCACCATCACTGTAAGTCATTTCTTGCAAAGTCCCAAAAATGGCTCCGCGATATGAGCCGATACTCTCGAACCTAGTGGTTTGGGTGTGAAGCACTTATATTCTTCCCTCATGCCAACACCAGATTTAAGTCGAGGCGAAGGATGGGAAAATTATTTCTGGGTAGCGTGTCATTATAGAGAAAAAAATGAGGAGGTTCTAATCAGCAGAATTTGTAATTCACAATAACTTTGTCAAAGGTACTTTATATGCAATGAACCGCTTGTTTGAAATATACTAGACCTGGCCTGCTTTTAACTTATCGCTGCTCATTGATTCATACCAAACCAAAGACCGATTTCCTGAATTAGGTACAACTAATGGATCTCGGTGTTTTAATTAGTATATAATAGTGTTACCGGAGCTGATATGAAGATTATTCATACAATACATACACTATTATGTATTTTAGTTAACGATATCTATGTCTATAGATATTATATGAAAGAGACTGTACTACAGATATAACACAGGAAGTTCTATATTTGAAGCTGAAATTTAAATATTTCAAGTCCCCCTTTCCTTATCAGGTATGTGGTTCATTTAAAATATATAGATTCCTATACTATTTAGTGTATTTCAATATATTATTAGCACTATTCAATGTTATTAGGATATGAAATGTTCTCAGTGCAGTACAATTCAATAATAAATATTGGAATATCTTCATGGATATCAAACTGCCCCACTGAATTGAGGCGTAATTGAGATACGGAAAATAATAATCACAACACTGATGGACAAATTAATGCACAATTTCCTAGGGAAGATTCTTTTCCTATTCAAACAGGTCTTCTATAATGGTAATCTATGTTCAAAAAAGCTTCGACATCAAAAGGATATCTGAAGCAAGTCAAGCTTAAATAGAAGTCGACATGGCACTAGTATAATTTAAGCGTTATTGGACAGTACTGTACTGACAGTATGTCGAGGAACTGACCTCTATCAATGGAGAAGAAATAACCCCGCATCAAGCACCACGAACTCCATGGCAACCATGTACCAAATCATAAATCATCTAATCATGTATCCCAAAACCTCTATTCTATACGCCAATTTTCTACCCGGTCTACACGAGCGAATGGGCCTCGATCTTAGCATCATCCTTTTTATCTCCCATATAATCTATTTTCTCCTGGTGAAATTCAGGATCAGCCAGTATTTCTCTCGAACTTCTGTACTCGATTTCATTGTGGTTCATTATTTTTGGGGTCGGACTATTTTTTACTTCGATGTATGGTTTGGGAGCTGTTCGGAAGAGGGGTCGGAGAAATGGTATTGAGGATGTTATAATGACAGTGCAGTTTTCTACTGCGCACCATATAATATAGGTAACCGAAGTAACTATTATATTGATTAGATTTGACTGTTCAATGTATACAGGCCATTTAGACTTACAGGTAATATCATCGTTATCGCCCATTGTGCAGTAGGTCCTGATGACTGCCGCGATAAAGGCACTAAGATGATTAGCTAAGTTTTGATAAATCGGAGAAGAGACTTACAAAAGGCTGACTCCCAACAGAAATGATAAGAGAAACTTCAAATGCAAGGAAATATGAAGATTAATAACCATTGCAACCGGTAGAATTGTGAGAGCAAGATCTGTTAAGGAACTGGATGATCCTTGAAAATAGCCAATAGCTGCTTGTGTTCTCATGCTCCAACATTGGTCTTCATGTCCAACACGATCCCAATTGTAAGAAATATCGGAACACTCGAAGAATATTTGGACGAGTGCCATTAGATTTATAATGGCATTTTGGGCAATGAGAAAGTAGAGAAATCGTCTTATATTCTGCTGGTGTCCAAGTATTCGTAAGAGGTAAACAGCGAACGATATTCTACCGAGTGTTGGTGATATGATACCTGCAAATGATTTAGCGATGGGTCAACTCGACAATTTGAAGAAGACTTACCGAAAGGCTCTCCAATAAATTCAGCTCTCATAGCCATCGCGGCTTGGGTCTCGGTAAGAAACATAACATGTCTTCCTAATCCGAAGGTTATACCCCAAGTATTAAGTGATATATGACAAATTCCAGAAATCTTAGGATTTTGTTAGTGTAGTACTAGAGAAAGGGAATTGATCACATACCATAGCAAGTATAACCAAGAGGTCCTCAAGAGCAAATGCGAGATGGTACTTGGCTTTGGCGATTAATCTCAGCATTATTAATATTCCAGAAATCCCGTATAGAGGCCAACATATTAGGAGTAATCGGGATGCTAAAATTGATAAGTGCTTTGTACAAATTGATGGCATTCAAGACAATTACCTATGGAACATCCTTAAGGCTCCCTGTCGACTCCATGAGGAAAGTGTATTATCAGAAGATGGAGGAATATTATTTTATCGTAACGCGGATGCCATTGAAGCGTATTAGCAAGCAGTCATGGTAGATAGAGAGTGAGACAATATCACGATAAGATCAAATAGGTATGGGGATTGAGATGTACTTAGATGCAATGCCAATATTTGCCAACAATTTAGGGCGGTTCTACTAAGACGTGAAATAAATCAAACTCCTATGCCAAACCATCCATGAAACACGTAGAATCTTCCAAGAAAAATCATAAGGCTGCTTCGTAAATGGAGGAAACCTTATGTAATTATTGTTCATGTGAGACAATTAAGAGACCAAATAGCTTGAGACGATCAACGTTGCACAGGTCTGAGCGCAATTAATTATGCCATCCAGGCCCATCCTAATTGTTTCCCCGCGAAAACAAACTTTAAGATAAAGACCCAAATTTGCAGAGCATAATGACGTTCCAAAGTACAGATAGAGAGCATTAGCTATCTGGACTAAATCGCTTGCAAAATTTACAAAGTAGGGTCGGAATTTCGTGTGTGATATCTTTTTGCATGAAATCACGAGAGAGGCGTAGCATGGCTACTAAGTAAGATTTCTGTTAGAAAGATCTCGAGTTCATGCGAGTGAGATATCATAAACAACAGCAAATAGCAAGAGCGCAAACGGGACTTCTTGTTAGCATAAATGAATTGAATTAATTGGACACCCCGAGGTGACGCCCTAAGTTGTATATCAGTCAGGCTATGCTGTTGCTCAATCAGGAAGATTCGTGAGGATGGACTTATTGGATGAGACTATGTTGTCGATCATCAACTGGAACAATCATCCCAAGTATATTTCGACAAGGTCATTTGAATACTGGTCAAAGATTTAAAGTTGCATAGAGTGCTTGGACAGGTGTTTAGATCGAAGCATTCGGGATATTTTCCGCATCTGGACAAGCTCGAAGAAGACATGAAAAACTTTATATATAGAAACAGAATGAAAACACAGTGAGAGATCTAGATGTCTGTTGCCGATGAAAACAAATCTGAAGTGCTGCAACTAGTACACTCGCCTACTAAGGCTCGTGTTTCATATATTGTGTGAGTACTTCGCAGGCTCTTCTTGTTACCAACAAAGAGAAGACGAAACACGATCTTGACCGAGTAATAGATTAACGCAGTAATGATAATCAATGAGAGGAAATCTTCAGATGACATATGTAAGTGCTGCCAACTCCCTCATAGAACCAATCAGTTGATGATCGATCAGCATTAGATCAGAGCTTCACGTTATTGCCACGTCTGAAGAGTTTTCCAAGGGTATCGAACTGAGAACCTAAGTTTGAGAGCTGCACTGATGCAGTCAAATTTTAGGCAAGGACCTTCAAGAATTACAGCCTTTGAAAAGTTGGAAGAAATTGTGTTGGGAAGAATCAACAACAATTTGCAAGCAAGATAATCATGAGCCAACGCCACGATTCCGAAACCGATTGATCACGTGATTCAAGCGTCGATTCTCTCCAAAACGCTACCCTCCAGACCCTGACCTACAGTACAGCAAAGATCACATAGGACGACTTCAAGGTCATCCAGATGACATTAAACTATGCGAACATAGCCATGGATGATTTATGCCACACTCTTTGAGCTATAATGCAATCGCTGAATTGCTAACAACGCGACATCACATGTTGCATTCCCAAAGCAAAGAGGCGTGCATATACGATTATGGACATGAGATGCGACACTGTTTCTATCATCTTACTTGAAGATGGAAGATGCGTTTGATAAACACGTGCTTTAGCATGCGATTGCCTTGCTAATTCCCTATCATCCTTCAGACGTCATGCTTTCGACATACTTCAAAGGGATTTCAACATTGGTCTTGGAATGGGGTGAATTGTGTCCAAGTATCCACTTAATAATAAGATTTGCACAGCCACATTTGCTAGTGACAAATTTTGAAACTACCGATCGTCAGATCTAAGCTAATGATTGGTCGGCCTTACAGCCACATGATTGAATGACGTTAGAGTAATTTGCGCCACATATGCTATGACGACTTTAGATTAGGTTGGCATTTATGGGGCATTGCTTCGTACGACCTGACCTACCAAGTTCATTCAGGGAAGAATCCAGACGAGAAAAGTTGGTTTGAGGTTGGAGATGTGTAAGTTCCCCGGTTGGTAGTTGTGGCACTGACACTGGCAGGTGTGGCTCTGTGGGATGATGGGATGGCGGGAATACTGGACTGGGTGAGTAGTGGGATTCAACATCAGGAAGCTTCTTATGGATTGCAGGTAATTTCCAGCTTTACAAACTCTAATAATATACGATAATCTCGTAAAGGTTCCTACCGGTCGTCCATTTCTTGCGCAAGTTGCGCGGCTACTCAGCTACCAAGTACTCTACTTTTTTTGACAGTGTGGGATGGCCCACTTTGACTAACTGAAATATTTGATAGGTCACAATTTGCGAGAGTTAATCAATTTAGCTTGGCCCCTTACAGAAAACCTGAAAGTTTGTTTAAAAACGGGGATTTGCGGGGTACGGAGGTCAGGAACAGGTCAATATGCTTACTTGCATGCTTTGGTACAACTATTCCTTGTTATGACGGCAGCAAGGTGGTCTTACAATTCCCATTCCCTTTGCCTTTCAAACGGGGAAGTGGAAGTGGGAGTGAATTCTTTGTTGGATTGGAACTTTCCCATGCCTGGGTATCTCCCTCAATATGACGTCACAAACAGGTTTATTGCCTCTTCATTCATCGGTTCTGAAGCATTTGAGGTCCTTAGATTTATTATATAAGGATTACCTTCTACCTCCCAAATCCTCTTTCTTTCTTCCATCATCAACAAACATACAAACCAACAGATAACAACTTCAAATCAAAACAAACCACAACTACTTTTTACTTTAAACCTTCAAACAACACTACATTCAAAATGACTGGAGAATCTACTGTACAAAAGGTCAAGGATGTCCTTCACATCGTATGTATTCCCTCTCTTCTCTCATCTAGGATACCTCAATCTAACAGCTTCAGGTTCCCACAAGGACAAGGACCACACCACCTCTAGCACAACACACAACACCACCGGTACTACTGGCACACACGTTCCAGGTACCACTCACAACACTGCCGGTACCACTGGCACCCACATCCCAGGCACAACACACACTGGCCATGCTGAGGGTTCTCACGGACCTCACAGCTCTGCTGCCGCCAATGCCGCAGATCCAAGAGTCGACTCTGATCTAGACGGAAACCGTCTTCCAAACAAGACCTCTGCTGGTTACGGTACTCAAGATGCAGCCTATGGCACAACTGGTACTCACACTGGTACTCACACTGGTACTCACGCTGGCACTCACGCTGGCACTCACACTGGTGCACATGTCCCAGGCACTACTGGCCACCAAGCTTATGGACACAGTGGAACAACCGGCACCACCGGCACCCACATTCCAGGTACAACTCACACTGGACACTCTGAGGGTTCCCACGGACCTCACAGCTCATCTCTCGCCAATGCTGCTGATCCAAGAGTCGACTCAGACTTGGATGGAAACCGTCTTCCTAACAAGACTTCTGCTGGTTACGGCACTCAAGATACTTACGGCAGTGGTCTTACTGGCTCAACCGGTACTCACCACCAAGGTACAACCGCTGGCAACACTGTCGGAGGAACTGGTTTCGGTGGAGGAATCTCCCACAGCACAAACGCCGGTCCTCACAACTCCAACATTGCCAACGCTGCTGACCCAAGAGTCGACAGCGATTTGAGCAACACTGGTAACCGCCACGGAGCTTCCACTGGTCACTCCGCATTCGGTGTTTCCGGTTCCCACGCCACTCCCGGCTCAGGAACTGCTCAGAACACTGCTGGTCCACACAACAGCGACTTTTTGAACAAGTAAGCACATTTCTACCCCATAGTATTCTTGAACATACACTAACAATACTCCACAGGGCTGATCCAAGAGTTGATGCCGACCTTGATGGTTCCAAGACCTTGGGAGGAAACAAGACCTACCAGTAAACCACATGTACAATAATACCCCTTGCTGAACGCGGCATGAATTTGCGATACCCGAGGATTGAGCATACCCGCGTAACTGGGGGAGCTTCTATTATCTTCACACGATTGTCAGTTTAGGCTTTGGGTTTTCTTTTGTCAGCATATGATGGATGGAGGGATAGGATAGGATGGTGGCATGGGAAACTTAATAGTTTTACGCATGATTTTATGAGTTACGAAATGATAATAATCACTTCTTAATAATTTCTTCTTTCATCATGTGATTGTGAACTTGAGTGGATCAACATGTTCTTTTTTATAATTGTTAGGTGAATATGAAGCAGTCGCTAGAACAGTTATTGACAACTAACCTATGGATTTATCTATCAGTCAATCCCCTTCTCACTTTCCAGCCACATCACTCTACCCTCTCACTAACATATCCATATCAAACACCTCCAAAGCGCACCTTCACAATCACGAGCTTTTCTTCTTTCCGCTCAAGAAGCTTCTGTTGCAACAATATCCCTCAACCATTCGCGGATAGTATTAAGCGCCACTCTCGACTGGTTCGAAAAGTAAAGCGACATTCATCACTTGAGCATATAAATCATGAGCTCCAACAATCACGAACATAGAGAATAGTTCCCCATCTATAATTATCCCTCTTGGTTTTACTAAAAGATTTGTTATCGCGATCGCTACTTTATTCGAAAAGATTGAGATTGCAGTCAGTATCCTATAAACGGCATTACCGATCATATCGAGTATTTAAACCGAAAAATATCTACTTTTGCCTGAGTTACCACTACTAGGTACTTACCCATCCATCCTTTACGGAACGTGAATAAAACCCTGAAAGGAAAAAAATTTAAACACGGCGGAAGTAATAAGTGAGTGAAAGATGTCGGTTTAAAGTTACAACTGATAAGGGGGAATTAATATCATTTAGTCTCCGACTAAGAAAAAGCCGGACAATTTACTAATTAATGACAGGTAGCGAAACGTTTTGAAGTTCTACTAGTAGTTAGTTAGCTGACTGTGGCTGGAGACTTAGTTTTAGTCTGAGGAAGAAAACGTGCGAGCTAATGTTAGTGAGGACGCTAGAAGGGTAGGGTTGAGGCTAAGTGTGCAGATGGAGCTAGTAACTTTTGGGAGGATGGGAGAGAATGGGGAGTACAGGGATGTTTTTGAAGTTTGTGATGGGGAGGTCAAGGAGGTACCAGGTTGGAATTGAGGAGATATTGTTCTGGTAGGTTTGCTGATGAAAGTGGTACTTAAAGTACACTCGCTAGGAGCTCATTTCGGGTTGTGATGAATGGTCCTAGTGCCCAGGTATTACTTTGAGGTAAAGCGATGTGGTGTAATAAATTCTTTTGATAAAGCTCAGAGGAGTTCGATAGTTGGTCATAGATTTGATGGATTCAAGGAATCAGACAAATCTGCGAAAGTCTACCTCCAATTGTATGGTCTTTGTGACTCTCCTGCTAGCTGGTTCATAGATTTCAGTGATACACTTAAGAATCTAGGATCGAAAAGCGACTTTATCGTTTATCAATCTAGAATAAACCGATGTCTTGCTTATATCTGGGACAAAAAAGACTCTTAATCTTGCCAGTACGAAAGAAAGAGTATGCAATTTCCATACTCCCGAACACAGGTTACACGGGATCGAGAGAAAATGCTTAGAAGACTTAACGCAACAGTCTCGAAGCAAACGCAATATTGCATGGGAATATAATGGTAATCTCCTGATATCTTTTTTTTTCAGGGTGTAATCACGACAATTAAGAGTTTAAGACAGAGTGAGTAGGATTCCAGAAGCGATGAACTTCGCCATCACAACGTGTTTAACAAAATCAGCGCCTGATTGATCATATCCAATTTGCCTTGATTACATAGACAACATGATATATTGTGGGGTATTCATATACTAAGTGTGACCTAGAATAGTGCCGAGAACCTCGAATCAGAGTTTCACCAGATTTTCTGATGCCAACCCTATCGACTACCTACCTAGCATTCAACAACAGTCCCTCATTTTAATCGCCTAAACACAAATGAACTTCAATTCACTTCCTCTGATTTCTCCATACACCAGTACTACCATCTTCGTTCCGCGCTCTAAATTGGGTGATCACTTTGATGTTTTTCAATTTCATTTACTCATTAAACTTTTGATCACCACCTCCTACGCACACCGAGATTCAAAAAGTGCTCTCGAGCAGTCTAATCCACGCTGTTGTGTATACGCTACGAACCGAATGCAGTGCTTAATATCAGGACTGTTAGGAAACAGTTAAACTACATCTAAGGATGGATTTATATGGCCTAATGATTGCATATGTATTATTATACAATAATCCTAGACCCGTTTTCTGCATAGGGGCAGAAGGGTGGGAGAATTCTCTTCACTAAGTAAGCGAAAGATAAACAATGAGGAGAGAGAAAGGAAAGGGAATTACATGATAGGTTCTGAAGCAACCTGTGCAACGCGCTTCATGTTGAAATATTCAAAGCGTTAAGTTCGGGAGGTACTCGTTCCCTCGTTGGTGATTGATATATCTCAAAATCGCCAAATTTATTTTCGATTTTTCGTTCATATTTTGAATCTTGATATTTTTTGATACACTGACTGAGTGTCCTCATGTTATTCTCTGACTGTGAGGAGAACATACACTTGTATAATTTCATCTCATCGTTACGTTTCTTTCCATAATGAGATGAAAAGGATTGCAGGTTAGTTCCTACCTTGAGACCGTTGTAAACAGTATCCATATCGAATCCCTCTCACTTCTCGTTAATGCTACGATCAATGTGTAACCACAAAAGTAATACTACATCAGTACATTAGTAGCATTAATTACATTCTAGAACATTCATATCATAATAACAATAAGTAGGTTAGATCCGATTATCCGGTCTCTAGGATGATAAATTATACTATTGCTGATCAAGAAAGCAGCAATTACTACATCTGTACACGTTGAGAAAATGGTACTTTTCAAGTCTTCCAATAGGTACGTCATCTGTATTCCACGCTCAAACAAGGGGATTCGTTTTCAGGGCTTAAAGTAATTATGCATATACATTTCCTAATCTCCACACACAGATTCTCCATCCTTCCCGTTATACACACACACGACATCGAAGACGAAAGCGATTCGACCAACGAGTCCGCATCCCCAATTTTATTACCATCGAAACATAAGAATGAATCAAGAAACACCTATTCCCACCATTCTACACACAAGCCATTCCACACCAAACTCCCACCATTTCTGAGAATACCCCGCGAACTACGATGGACAATTTTCGACGCCCTCGTAGCGTCACTTACCGAAATCGAAATCAGTCCTTCCTTTATCGATACATTCCATGCTCTTCGTCTCAGCACCAAAGGTCTCCGAGAAGAGGTTATCGAATGGCAAAGGAAGAGACCCGATGTTATGAATATATTCCCCTACGGCTGTTTTCTCCCCCAGCACACGACATTTATTCTGAAGATCGATCAACGTTGGAAAAAATTCGTCAAGCACAAGACTGTTTCCGGATCCCACGTGACGTTTAAGAGCGGCCCCAAGTCTAAAAAGCTAAATGAAGGGCTTCTCCCCAGAACAAAAGCTATCAAATACATGACGAGAGAACAAGCATGGTATAGTTTCTGTCGCGCAGTAACAGCACCACACATGGCAAAAATCCATCTCAAATTTGAGATCTCATTACCCGAAGAATTTGGACCCATCAGTCAGGGGAATGGATTAAGTCCCATTCCGCGCGAAGAATTATTCCAAGCGCTAGCTGCTTCGAGATATCAAGAAGGCTCATGGGCATCTCAGCACTTGTATCTGCGCGGGACAATGGATCAACTGGCTAGTATGTACAAAACAGACACTCTTGCGCAAATTGGAGATATGGTGCAAATTGTACAGAAAGCACAATTTGACGCGGAAACATGGACTGTGTTTCGGGATGATCGGTGGGGGGTGGAGGATTACGAGACGCTTTCGTATCCGTTCGATGCGACGTATTGGGAAGATGAGAAATATAAGGTATGTGAGAAGGGGAGAGAGGGGAAGGATGTGTATGAGTATGGGGGGAGAGTGATGGAGGCGGTGATTGAATGTGCGCAGGATATACGGAGGGGTCCGCCGTTTGTGGTGGCGTCTTCGATTTCGCCTCGGGGAATGAGGAGGATGCTTTTGTTTTTACGAGGGGTTGGTTGCAGGGGACTACGGCTTGTTTGTGAAAGGGTTGTGGGTATGGGTTTGGGTTTGGGTTTGGGTCTGGGCGGAATAATTAATAATAACTCAATAACTCAGGTATGGAATTAGAATGAGGAACAGCGTTGAGGGTTCAACTTTCAAGCGAAAATTTGGGATCTTGTAAGAGGGGTGAATGAATGAATACCTACTTTATACCACAGCATTAATGATCAATGGTTAGATACTAGATAGATACCTAGTTTAATGAAATCATAAACTTGGGTACGATTCGTCTGAGATGAATTTTATATGATACTTTGTGAAGAGATGGGTATATGATCGTCTATTTCATCTATCTACATAATTGATATAAGATTTTGAATGAAATTTACAAAACGGTTATAAATGCAAATCCAGATCCAAACAATCCAAATCCTCACACAAACAATCCACATCCAAATCCTCACACAAACAATCCAATATCCTTAATCCACCATACTCTCCTCTCTGACCCTCCCCATACTCTCCTCTCCAATCCTCCCTATACCCCAGCAATCACCCAGCAATCACCTAACAATCACCCAGTAATCATTATCACCTAACATAACAATTATATATATGCATCCCAATTCCAATTCTAACTCTAATAATATTCAATATAGAATATCCATCTATTTATTTATTTATCTATTTATCTATCTATCTACCTACCTAAAACACTAAAAGCACCGAAAGCACTAAAAGCACAAAGATATAAAATAGCCTAAACAGTTTACTAACAACCAAAAAGGTAAATAAATGATTGTGAGAATGAGAGTGAGAATGAGAATAACAAATATATAAATAATATAATACATACTACCTACCCACCCCCTAGATAACATCAGCAGTGATATGGTAAAAATTCGGATATCTACAAGAGATAACTTACTACCTAGTACCTAGTACCTAGTAGCGACAACAGAGAACGACAACAGAGAACGACAACAGAGAACGACAACAGAGAACGACAACAGAGAACAGCATCAAAAAACAACATCAAAAAACAACATCAAAAAACAACAATAATCAGAAATATCCCAAAACATCCCAAAACATCTCAAAAGACAGCAAGCGAGAACTAAAATGCAAAAAATCAAGATATCTCAATCACCTTCCCTACAACATAACATAACAAACAAATCAAAACTCACTCACTCTCTCACATGTACCAGCCCCAAAGACTTTAATTTTGCTTCCCCAGAATCCCCAAGATGAGCACTCAAAACCAAACCAAAACCAAAACATGACTGAACAAAAATGGTATTTATCACTGCAAAACTAATTTTTCCTTCATGACGACATAAGCCATCCATTTTCCAAGTAACCTATTTACCTCATCACTTCATCTCACGCCACCAACCACCCCGATTCTTTTCTACTCCATCCTCCCCAAACTCTTCTATATACAACGCATTCATCCATAGCTCTTTCCCACTTGCTTCACCCAGCATCAACTTGATTCCAAAAGTCCCTTCCTTCTTCTCCTGTCCTCCCCGTCTTTTATCAACATTTTTTTAATCTTCGGGCGCAAAAACACACGGAATTCAAACTACCTGTATGCATTTACTCAAAGGTCCTGGGCTTTTGCATTTAATCAAGTGGAATGCCTTCATATTCCGCGAATCCTAATGCGAGGTTCATGTTTTCTATTACAATGTTAGCTCCAACTTCTTTCATATTAATGCAAAACATGACGAAGAAAGTTTTGAGAAAAAGATAAAACTTACGCAAACATTGAGTTGCAGCTCCCTTCAACAAATTATCAATGGTTGCACAAACAACCACTCTCTTGCCACTGCTGTGTACTCCAAAGCCACCAATTTCTACACCATGCTTTCCACTAATATTCTTAACACTTGGTGCTTCTCCAGTAATCTTAACCAATTTCTCTCCAGCATATCGCTCTTGGTAAAGATTTCTAATATCTCTACTCGTCATCTTCTCCTTCAAAGGAATCGAGATAGAGTGATGAATACCCTGGAACCAGACTGCAACGTGAGGAATGAATGCAACTTCAACACCCAATTGGTTGCTGATTTCGCGTTCGTGAATGTGATCAGTGAGAGAGTAAGGAATAATGTTACCAGTAAGGTTCTCGACATCATTCTTTGGAGATGGTTTGGTACCTGCTCCAGAGTAACCTGATACACCAAAGATGGTTGGTTGACCACCAAGGAATGGTACCAATGGAGCAATTCCAAGTTGAGCGGCTGTAGCATAACAACCTGGGTTGGAGATTCGAGTTGCCTTGGCAATATCGGATCTGTTGACTAATTCTGGAAGACCATATGTCCATTTGCTATCAAATCGATAGTCGGCAGAAAGATCAACAATGACACTGTTTTGAGGACCCTTGCCCTCGTTGACTGCATCAACAAAAGGCTTGCAGACACCGTTTGGTAATGCCATAACCCAACAGTCAATTTCACCATTCTCTTCCATTCTGCGAACATCTTCTGGAGAAAGGTTTTCATAGGTAATATCTCTCTTCTCATAACCCTTCAACTTTTGTCCAGCGAGTTCTCTTGATGAGACATGTCTGAGATCCATGTTTGGGTGAGCATTAAGGAGACTAATCAAAGCTTGTCCAGTGTATCCTCTGGCACCAATCAAAGCAACCTTAGCAGGTTGGGTGTTGGATGAGTTTTGCTTGCCAAAAGGAGGGTTAGGATTGGTAGTTGTAGCATATCCGCGTCCTGATGCAGGGAAGCGGGAGGTTCGGGAAGATTTGACGGCAGGTCTACGAGCAGAAGTAGAGAAAGCTCGGGCTTGTTGCCTGATACCACCCTGACCAGACATGGCAGCACTCATTCCAGTAGCTGCTCTAGCAGCACGGTGAAGTCGTGCCTCAAGGTTAGCATCTCCGAGCATAGATCTACCGTGAGTGGCAAACTCAGTCATGAGATCCTTGACTTCATTACCATCCGTAATTCCATACCAGAACATAACCTCTCCATTCTTAGACAAGCTACCATCAGCTTTATCAAAGAACCAAGTCAAATTTTCATCATCCTCCTTGACAGTCCAAACCAACTTGCTGTGATCCTTCTTGATAGCAGCGAAAACATTATCAGCAACGTTGGTCAACCATCCAGCCTTGGTAATGGTAAAGGTAGCCAAATTAGAAAGAGAACTTGGAGACTTTGGAGGAAGAACAATTGCAAGAGCATCCATAGGCTCATCAAAATAGGCCTTGAATTCCTTGTTCTTGAGTCCGTCAACATATCTGTCAACAGTAGCTCGTGCATCCAAGCCTTCACGATCCCGTACAAGAACATCCTTCAATTTTTGGATATCCTCAAACTCGGAGAGAGCGCTGACAGTAGCTAATTTGTTGCCTCTTCGGATCAAGGTTCCCGCTCCGGTATCGGTGAATAACTCTTTTTGAAGATCAGCTGGGTGAATAATAGCAACACTGGAAGATCTTGGTAGGAGATCAAGCAATTGCTTAGTCTCCTTGATCTTCAGCCTGGTACCATATCGGCACCACCATTGTGACATCAAAGAATCATATTCCTCATCGAGGTTGATGGCAGAAATCTTCTCGTTGGTATCGGCATTGAAAAGGCCTCCCTTCTCAGACAAGTAAACAATCTTCAATGGTTGTAATTCCCTGGCAAGTTCTCCAGCCGCAACATCAGCATTGACGTTCAAGACTTGACCCTCAGGAGTCTCAGCCATAGAAGTCAAAATGGGCAGACATCCCGCATTGATAGCAGCTTCAATTGGACCCTTGTTAACCTTGTTGATTTTGCCAACCAAATTGTATTTCTCCTTGTCCAAATAATCCGCACCGAAAACACCAGAAGTGATTGGTCTCGCTCTGACTCCCATCTCCTCCAACTTCTCCACCAACTTCAAGTTCTCCTCCAAGAACAGCTTGCGCGCAACTGCCAAGGTCTTTCCATCTGTAACGCGAATGCCCTCTTCAAATTGTGGTTCCACGCCCGCATCTTCCAATAACTTATTCAATTGTGGTCCTGCACCGTGTACAACAACTGGGAATAGACCCACATGGTTGAGGAACGCAAGGGCCGAGGTGAGAGATTCGAGATGTTCAGTAATAATCGCACCGCCAACCTTGATAACTGCGAATTGCTGAGAAGACACGGAGCTGAAATGTGAGAGATATTGCTGAACCTCGCGCTTGGAGCCAATGTTACTGAGGAGTTGAACAACCGTCGAACGAGTTGAAAAACTATCTGTAGCAGGCGCAGAGTATTGACGTCTGGATGAGAGAGCTACGGCGGTGGTAGCTTGTGGGAGGTATCTCACAGTGGAAGAGGAAGGGAATTTGCTAGTAGCAGTGCGTGCTCTTCTAGCAACAACAGCTGCTCGAGATCGAAGTGCCAACATGATTGGTGGGGGTTAGAATCGAGGTGGAGTGGAGAGATTACTCAAAGTGAAATTTGTTGAGGACAACAAACTCTGCCTCCTTATAACTTCTTCTGTGCAGAGCTGATGAAAGAGAAATTCAATGCAATTCAATGCCAAACAAACGTTTGATCCGAGAGTTATCTCATGCAAGGCGGGGAGGATTCGAAGATGTTGGTTGGGAGAGGGTGCTATGAACTGAAAATAACGCAGACTAGAGGGATACAAAGTGTAAGTGAGACAATTTCTTCAATTGTTTTGTGAACAAACCTCTCGCAGTATTCTTCCAAAGAAAGAATAAAAGAAAACAATAAAGATGAACGTGAAGACGAATAAAAATTATATATCATACCTTTCCTCAACTTTCTTCACAATTTCAATTTCAATGAAAATGGACGTGGAAGTAGATAATACTCATCAGCTATCAAAAATGACAGTCATAGTTCCTAAATGCTCTGGTAATAAATTCAATCTGGATTTAACCCCTCAGGGATTGACTGACCTTGTGCCTTGTGAAAATATAATGTGGAGAAGCGCCGATGTTCTACGATTGGTTGGATTGTTTGGAATGGGTTGGATTTTCAGATTGTGGAATGTGATTGGATGGATATGGATTCTTGGCATGAAGAAATACCCCACATCGAGAAGTTTTTATTCCATTTTATCTTGTCAACTTTTCTCCCAAAGCTTCAGACTTCACTTGATACACACGTCCCATCCATACCTTGGTA